GACCGGATTCAGACCTATAACTACACATACTATTATATAAAAAAAATATACTTCTTATACAATTTAGAAGTCCTGATCATATAACTCTCATTAAAAATTAAGGTAACCAAAAATATTTTTTTATTGTTTAAAGACTAATATTCAAAAGGGTCGAAGGAGTTAAAATCAGTAGGGTGTAGGTCTGATGAGTTTTGAGGTAAAAATTCATAAGAAGTATTATTTAGTGGCAATATAGGTGTAAGTTTTATCTAACTTTTCCATTAATTCTAGCCATTTGTTCTGTTGAGCTTCCAAATCTTTCATTAAATTTTCAGCTAATCTCTTAGCTTCCTCATCCCCCAATTCAAAATGTATTGTTTCTAAAGATTCTAAATCCTCTTTTGCACTATTGGCTACTTTTTCTAAATATTTTTCCTTGATATATTTGTTATTATAACTGGTTTGATCTATTTGTTGGTCTAATCTGCCGACAAAATTATCTTTTTTCTTTAACCCGTATCTCAATAAATTTTGTAAGTTCAGTAATTTCACCTTAATCCGCAACGTCTAATTCCATTTCTTTTATTTCATTAAAATCTTCTCATTTTCCATGGACTTTTTAAAAATCTTCTTCCAGGCGTTTTATATCTTTATCAAGATCATATTTGTTGTAATTACATGACTTTAAAACAGCACAACCCGATAATTTACCTCTTAATAATAAAGGAACTGATTGAGGCATTTTAACATTATAATTATTAAGCTACTTATAGAATGTAGAAGTACTGATAATAAACCCCTTATTAAAAAGTTAGGTAATTTTAATACAAATAATAAGAAAATACGTTTAGGTTTACAATCTATAGCTTTATTGTACTTTTTTTTTACTTATAGCTTATTACATTAATAGTAAAACTGTATTTAGTACATGTTTAACTACTTTTATAATTGCTGTACTATTCGCTTATTTAAGTAGTAACTTTATACATGAAGTATCTTTAATGATTGATGGTAAAACAGTAGCTATAGAGGTTATTCAATTAATTTTAAATAGTTTATTATCCCCTATTTTTATCGAGTCTATTTCATTACATATGAATATACGTTCACAATTAAATCTATAGTATACCCCAAATAGTAATGGTAATTCTAATCTTACTATGCAAACCTAAAGCATGCAAGCTTTATATTTTAGTTCTAATATCAACTTTGCTAGATACCTTGAAAATAGGTGTAGAATATTATCTAAAACAAAGGTACTTTACCAATTTGTAATCGTATCTATGACATTAAATGAATTGGTCATAACTAAACATTCTAGTAACGGTCAACGTTTGTTACAACTATTCCCAAAGCTTCGTAACAATATACCTTGCTTCGTAGAAAGTTTACATGTAAATAAATTTAGTACCACAGTTATATGGATATACGGTAAAATAAAACATGTTACAGGGAATAGAATTATAGATGCGATAAAAGAAATGTAGTAGTATTAAATTTAGGTTTTGTATTTGAATTAGGTAAAATGCGTTATATATTCTTTTAAAAATTTTTCTTAAATCGAATAATTAAATTTATTAAGCCTATTTTCGCATAAATTATAATTTTATTATAAATATATATAAAGCTATCACTTATTGATTTTTAGCCCTTAATATGAATTGAACATATATCATAATATTAACAGTATTCCGCTCTACCGTTGAGCTATAAAGGCTTATAGGTGATATTAAAATAAAATATATTAATTTAAATATCAGGTTACTATGATTCGAACATAGAAATCCTCAACCCAAATGAGGCGCCTAACCAACCCGGCGCTAACCTGTTTTTTTTTTTTTGATTATATTATTATTAAATCTTAATTTAATATAATTAAGGCAATCTTTTTAATCAGGCTGTAAATTGACGAGTATTAGGATACATACGGTTAGGGTTATAATTAGGTCTGAAAACTCTATTCATAACACGTATGTATTGATTGTCTTGTGGAGATAATGTCTCGCTGTTTTGAGAATGATAATCCCTATTTCTAAGCAATTCCATTCTATTGGCTAAATTAGTGGCGTAAGGTTGATTACTAACTGTGTTGTTATAACCGTTAGCTATTACCGAATCTCTAACTGCAGTTTCTTGTGTACTTGAGAAACCATCAGTATAAGCGATATCCTCAGGAATATTACCTAAACCGTTATTATTCACTGCGTTACCTTGATTAGCTAAACCGTTATTATTTATTCCATTTCCTTGGTTAGCTAAACCGTTATTATTCACTGCGTTACCTTGATTCCCTAAACCGTTACTATTCTCCATTAGCATTATATGATCTTGTTTAATTCCCATTTCTGAATAATGATAAATTAAACATTTAAATAAACTTAGTATACTAAAAAAAGATATAAATTCCCAACTAAACGGCTCTAATAACGATGAAGTAATATGTAAAACATGATAGTAAAATGCCCTTAGTGTAATTGTAAATAAAACTGTAAAACCTAAATTAATAAAAAATTTTTTATTCATTATAGATAAAAATCAATTTTTCATAGTATACTATTAAAAAACATGGTGATGATTTGTAAACTGTTAGTAATATATGAATCCCAGTTCATTATTCATATATCGCGTATGTTTTAACATAAACTTGTTATTTTTTGCTAGGACAGTTACCACCTATCAAACCTATATCTAGCTATATATCAGTTCATATTTTTATTAGAACTTACTTTATTTACATCAGTCCAGGTTTTTAATTCGAACTTGGCTGCTTTCAGTATCTAAAGTTGCTTATATAAAAAATTAGACTCTTTATTTATGTATTATTTATTCTGATCTTTTCAGCACCTATTATATAAACACCTTTAAATTTAAAGAAAAGCTTCACTATTAATATATTTGCTCTATGCGTATTATTTACTTATTTTTGTTAAAAAAAAATATTCTTCACTTATTTATGTATTATTTCTGTATTATTTATAGAAGTTATACTTAATAAATATATCCTAATAAATATAATAGCTACCTTTATTAAAAACCATTATAAAATTTTTATTTTATAACAGGCTTATTAGTATCTTTAGATACTTTATATACATGTATATATATTAATATCTTTAAATATTTTTAATGCATATATATTTTTTTTTATACTAACCAAACCCTAAGTAAAAATAGCAATATGTTTTTAAAATTAAAAAAAAAAAAATTACATTACATATTATTAATTAGTTTGTTTAATTTATTATTTATTTACTCATGTCGTTTTTTTTTAATAAAATCGATAAAATTTTGCATTCCATATTATTAATTAGTTTGTTTAATTTATATTATTAGATATTTTTTTTTATACTGGCCAAACTCTAAGTAAAAATAGTAATATGTTTTTAAAATAAAAAAAAAAAAAATTACATTCCATATTATTAATTAGTTTGTTTAATTTATTATTTATTCACTCATGTCGTTTTTTTTTAATAAAATCGATAAAATTTTACATTACATATTATTAATTAGTTTGTTTAATTTATTATTTATTTACTTAGCAATAAACTATTAATATAATGCTATTATTTTTTACCTTATAAAACGATATATAACGTTTATTGCAAGGTATTATAAAAACAATAATAATTTTTTTTATAAACTTTAATGTATAAACGTGAGATCGTTTGTCTGTACAGCACTAATTAAATTGGTGTTCCTCAAGATGTTTTGTCAGGTATTCTTATAATTATTAAAAAAAATGATGTGTAAAAGTTTAATTTCAAGAAGTTTAGGTGTTAGATGATTCTCTAGTAAACCTAACAAAACAATAACTCAAGTTTATTTTCGAGAAGAACATTTACAAGATGTTGAAGCTTTTAATAAGTGTCTGAGTTTAAGTGGGTTATCATTACATGAAGTTTATACAGCTTATATTAAAGTTAGATATAATGTTGATCACTTCTTTATGTTGGGTAATCAAATTGGTTTTAGTTACAAAGGATTTTCATCTAGGTAGTGAACTATTTGATATTATTAATTTAAGATTGTCTAGTTATATTCTTGTCAGAATAAGG